AGGAGACCAGGTGAGTGTCCGGTCCGCCCGCCCTTCAGCCTGACCCCCGCCGCGGCCTCTGCCCAGCCACTAACCAGCGCCCTCTGCCTCTCCCAGCCAGGTCTCAGCGGGGGTGACAACGTGCCTGCCAGCCACAGAGGCCGGGCGCCAGGAGGTGCTGAGAGCGACATGACATGGTCCGGTGTGACGGCGAGAGGGAGCGGAGCCCCCGGCCTTCCTGGTCAGTGCAGGTGCAGGGCGTGGCTCCCAGACCCTCAGCGGTGTCACCTCACGCCTGACCTGTCTTTTCTCTTGTAGAACATCTCTGGCTGGCGCCGTTGGGAGCGCAGCGCCCAGCTGGTCTCTGTCCTTTGCTTTCCGGAGGAGCCCACACAACTCCGGCCTCGGGACCTCAGAACCCTCAAGATGACAAGGTGAGCACCCCTGCTCCCCAACCCCCGCCCGGCAGGTGGCACGGGGCCAGGGCTGGCACTCACCCCGGCCCCCCCCTCCCCTGCAGAAATGGTGCTACCCAGCTCACGCCTGGGCCTCGGACCCCGGACTTCTTCAAGTCCTTCTAGCTCTGACTCAAGAATATGCTGCACTTGGAACCACTAACCACCCGTCTCAGGAATCGGCTGCGAAGGTGAGCGTGGGTGCCCGGTCCGGAGGCATTGCCCTCCCAGCCTGGCCCCACCCTCAGCCCTGTCTCTCTGTCGACAGGTAGAGCAAAGGACTGAGATCGGCGACACCAGCACCACCGACGCGAGCAGCTCCCGCGGCAGCACCTGCCCCCGGTCTGGACGCTCCGCCCACCGGGAGCACCTAGCACTGCATTGTGCACCATCCTGCCTGTGTCCCTCCTCACCAGGCCTCACCAGAAGCCTGGCATCATCAATAAATCCGTTCCAGCACTTGGTCTTTGCGTGTCCTCCTTGCGCCGTGGCAGTGGGTGGGGGCACATGAGGGAACATGAGAGAATATGAAGAAACAGGAGGGGTGGGGGGGTCACACAGTGGTGTGGGCAGCAGCAGGTCCTATGAAGTGGGTGGGACTTGGGACCAGGGGTCCCTGCAGGGAGGGGTGAGGCTAGGGGTGATGAAGAGAAGGGAGTTCTGTCATGAGAGGGTGGGGCCCCCCAAGTCTCTTGAAGCCTGATTCTGCCATACAAGTGCCTCCTGGGCGACACCCAAGGCCTCCCCCCCCCCCGCCCCCCATCCTGAA